AATGTTACTGTACTCTAATATGTACTGTGATGTACTGTAGTGCTGACGTCAGTGAAACTAAACAGAAGGTCCATGAAAAGCTTTTTGAATTTTTTTTTTTTAGAGTCAAAGGATGAAGAGGTGTTATCTTCGCAACTTTTCGAATTGCCACCCTTGGATAGAGGCTGTGAAGCAATTCTTTCGATACCATCCACAGAGTCCACTTCATTGAATTGCAGAGGTTGGTAAAGTACATTCGTTTTTGTCATAGTATTCCTTTGAATTGGGGGAGGGGGGCATTGTGAGTTTTCAGGCGTGAAATTAGGTGCTGTTCGGCTTAGGAGGGCAATTGGCTTTTTAGTTACAGTTTAGTTAGTTAGTTTTTAGTTTCCTGTAAAATTACACGTCATTTGGTGAGATCTGCAGACTCTTGTCAAGTGTATACGGAACTCCTGCTTTTGTAAAGCTTTACAGGATTCACAGGTCTGCACTGGAGGCATAGGTGGTGATAGATGGGAAGCGGCAACCTGCCTCTTCCATTTTTGCTAAATAGGATTTGGAGCATTGAAGCGCTGGTCAACCCCTTCATGGAATACGCCACGATTTCAACTCCTATTCAAAATAGTAGTGTTATTAACGGGGACCAGTGAAACAACCTGAGCCAGCCTGAGACCCTGACCTGACAGCGAACGTAACGGAAATGTCGCTCAAAAGCTCACGGCGGGGCGCAAAAGCGACGGAAATGCCCCCCCCCCCTCCACAGGCGCTGCAATTCCTCTATTCATCATTGTAACCTGTCTGTGCGACCTCCTTCCTTCCCATGCGACAACCTCGTGAGGAGTGGAACGTCAGAATGGGACCGCGGCGAAATTTATGACATGTGTCTCAACAACATTGGGAAAGAAGGGGGACATTGGTGGTGGGTGACAGGAAGTGGTAATAACTGATAAAGGCTGATGAGAGCCAGCCTGTGCTTCGTTTCTTTACACTCGTTACGATTAACCTGCATCCATTAAATGTCAGAGATCAGTCGTAACGAGAGGGGTAGAGACTCATCATAGCTCCAGTTTCGATAAAAATAGATGCGATAATTGCCAATTATGGCTGAAAGGGGCAATTAACCAATTAGACTGTGCCTCACCATAGCTACGAAAGTACTGCACTGTAAGGACATTTCATTGTTACCATCGAGACGTAATCGACCGCCAAACTGTCCGTACCAGGCTACGTCCTACGCTGGGGATTTCCAGTGAGGGGGATCGTACTTGGACTGAGAATTTTTTTCGTTACCGGTTTTTTTTCACGCGCGCGTTTCCACAAAGGTGGGGGACTCCAACTGGAGAGCGAATCGGGTTTGTTTGTCGCTGTGAGAGGGGGAGGGGCGTCTGATCTCTAGAATTCTTTCCCAAGTGCGAGACACTTTTCTTTCCCCCATCCTCGTCTTGGCTCTTTAGAAGGCGGCCAAATTTGTATACATTTCTGCTTTCCACAGTTGAAAAGAGTAGTTGTTTGGTGATGGTTCCCGCGGACCCCGCCCCTCCCCATTCCAATCACTGCGCCCG